AGCTTCGGCGTAGACTCTGACTATGTCTTCTGTTCCAGATGGACGAACAAATGCCCGAGCCAATTTAAACTGCTGAGTCAGATGGTCGATTTTTTCTTGCAGCCCTGGAGGTGCAATTGCTCGTCTTTCAGCATCTGTCGTGCTGATGACCCGCCTATCAGCAACCTGCAAGTCAAAATGAAAACAAGTAACATCGTCTAACCTGCCAAAATTGCAACTGTGTATCAATTCTCCAACGAGGAGAAACCAGGAAAGAAATAAAATGAGCCACAGTGGCGCAGTGGTTAGAATGCAGTACTGCAGGCTACTTCTGCTGACTGCCAGCTGCAATTTGACAGTTCGAATCTCACCAGGCTCAAAGTTGACTCAGCCTTCCATCCATCCGAGGTGGGTAAAATGGGGACCCTGATTATTGAGGGCCATAGGCTGACTCTGTAAACCACTTAGAGAAGGCTGTAAAAGCACTGTGAAGCAGTATATAAATCTGTTCTGACCCTCCTTGCTCGTTCAGAAACGACAGTCACACACAGCTTGCAAAGGAATGTCTTTATCAGTCCCGGCTTTTGCTGGCTGTGAGCCCAAAATAAACATAGATAAATACTCTGGCAAAAAGTTAAACAGCAAATGCAAAAACAAACTCTCACAGCAAACCAGGTTTATATAAAGCAAATCACTCTTTATAGCTCACTGACTGACAGACATTGAAATATGTGTGATGGGTCAGCAGTTAAGACACTGGGCTTATTGGCTTGAAACTGACAGCCCATGTTTGAGACCCAAGCATGGCATGCTGGGGTGAGTGCCTGTCTTCATCTGGCTCCTGCCCATCTAGCAGTTCGAAAGCATGCATATGCAAGTAGATAAATAGGTATCACTTCAGTGGTGGGGGAACAGTGATCCCTAACATTATGTTGACCACATGGCCATGGACAACACTGGCTCATGGCTTTGAAATGGAGATGAATAAAATCTGCAGGAACTCCAAGTGTGTTGGAATAAAGTTTTAAATATTTGTACTTTGTAATTATTGCTTCTGAATCTAAAATTCAGTCCTTGGGAGAAGGGCGGCATATAAATCAAATAAACCTAAAATAATCTGTGATCCAACCTTGCTGGGCTGGAATAGAGCAATACACATATCAACATAATGACCAGAATCAACATAAGGACCAGAATCATATCTCCAACTCCCAACCCACAAAGTCAGTCTAGAAAGTTATTGTGGTTGACTTACTATTAATATCTAGTAAGTGATCTTAGAAGAGAAGGTAATTATCCAGGTTGTTGGATCCAAATATGGCTTCTTGAGATATGGGCAAACCAATGTCTCTTTAAGGACTTCTGATAGTTCCCCTTTTCTCAAAGATGGATTTCCTGTGACGGTAGAATCTATCTCCTCATTGGCTGTTTAGTAATAGGAACAGAACAAGAATCTAGTTCACAATTGGCACAGTTAAGATTGCAGACAAGTTTGTCTACTTCCTTGGGATTCACTGGCTGAAAATCTTCCAAATAACAACCTATGATATAAGTTCTGTCATCTTATAGATTCTTCCAACTCGCTTCTGAATTGGAAAAGACGTGAACAATTCTATCCATAAAATGCTTGGCCAAACTATTACAATTTATACTGACTAGATCTGTTGGCCTATCTCCCAGGGAGGCTGGGACGGGGAGGTCCAGATTCTTTAAACAGCTGGCATTCCAATGGTCAAAGAAACAGTTTATTGTGAAATAAAAGATATATGAGAGGGGGAAGAGGGGATAATTTTCTAACTAATTGTTTAGGAAAAAAAAGATGATTAGAAACTTGTCGGGACACACAGTGGAGAAATGGATGTGTGCTGAAAACCAAGCGGGAAATCCTTCCCCAGTGACCAGTGGTTTTTCTAATATTGGTAATATTATTTGGATGTTCCAGCTTTTTATATGCAAATGGGTTCTTGCATAACTATTTCCAATTCCATTATACTTAATCCTACCATATATTAAGCAGGCAGAGGAAGAATCTTGCCAAGGAAAGTGATTTTTAAAATCATGAAATGGATATTTTTTTAAATATTTTTAATGCTAGACTGGGTGGAGTGATAGAGTTTTCTGTTGAACAGCCTAAATCACTAGCAGCATCTTTGCTAAGAGTGGAAAGGGAATTAATTGCTTTCACTTAAGCAACAGAATGTCTTGGTGTGGCTAGTTTCCCTTAAACTGCTTTAAATGTATGACTAGAAAGTATTTTTAAACTCTTTTACCAGAGATTTTATAAATGTTATCTAAACTGAATAACCTATTATTCTCCACTCACCACTGCAGTATCTGAAAAATACTGTAACTTTTAGATTTAAAGTTCATGCTGAAAATGGTTTTGCTCAAGTTGTATTCATAATAATGTTTTCATTTCATGTAAATGTTTCTCTTGCTTTGAAATGTGTAAACATTTCTGTGACTGTAAAATAAATTGTCCTAGAAACTTTAATTTGCAATTCTCAATGGAATAGTGCCCTTCAGAATCTTCAATGACATTACTGATCTAATATGGATATTGTGATAGCTTAATAAATCCTACATTATGGCACCCAGGAAAAAGAATTAAATTTAGAAATGAGAACAAGTCTAAGAAAAGAGAGTAGAAAAAGAACAGGGAGAAAATGGTGAAGAAATAGGTTTTGTTCCTTAATCTTAATCCCAAAAGAAAAACAGGCAATGAAAATGGCCTATTTTAGCAATAATGTTTACATAAAGGGGTTCTATCATTCCTTTAATCTGCTATGATCTGCGTATGTCTTCCTGCAGTAGCCACACAATATTTGAAAATGATTTATGTATGCATCAATGAGTTTCAGAGGAGTACTTCATACTTGTTCTTATGAATTTTACAGCATCTCTTCTGAAGTATATTGTATTATCTTATTCTACATATAAATATTATGCCCTCATCTATTATATTCTTTCTAATATAGAAAAGGTGGTTTCCTTTGAATCAGTCCCTACTCCTGATATGTCCTTGTCAGAGGTGGGTTGCTGCCGGTTCGACCCAGATCAGCCAAACCAGTAGTAGTGGTGGCGGGAGGCTCTGCTCACCTGCCTTCTGTGCATGCGCAGATGCATTGCATGTGTGCAGATGCTTTGCACACATGCAGAAGTGTTGCGTGCCCGCCTGAACCAGTAGCAAAAAAAATTAGCAACCCACCTCTGGTCCTTGTGGTTGCCCCAAATTCTATATTTTTCCTTTAAAGAGCTGCTTGGACTAAAATTAGTTTTGTTTTGTGTGAGTGCATGTTTTACAAGCTTAAATGAGCTAAACCCTGTGCCTGGTTCTATTTCACAAGCAAGAAGAATACTGTTTCTTTTGGCAGTCATTAAATGGTATCATTTTGTCATTCAGAGCCATGTAATATTAACAATATCAACAATATTACTTGTAAGATATATCAGTGTAGTCCCATTATTATTAAGGAAAGTACCCAGTAAAATTTCATACAGTTCATTTTCTGTAACTTTTTTGGGGGTATACAATGACCTGTGTGCAGCTTAATTACTTAGAATTGTAAGTATTTCTCCACTTCTGGGATTATCACAATTACACATGACCAATTATATTTCATTTTAATCGAATCAGAGAAAACAGGTTATCTCAGGCTATACTCGGGCAATCATATACATGAAATTTTATATTCATTGGGTTTATTTTGAGTTGCCAGATACAAAGCTAGTGTTAATCAAGTCAGTGGGAACCAACCCTTATTTTTCCCCTCTTATAATGTGAATGTTTTTGTTTTGTTTTGCACGCTTTGCATCATAACATTCCTACAGTCCAGCACAAATTAATTTTGGGTTAAATCAATTGTACAGAGTGAATAATGATTAGCTTCATGGTTTAGGTTTAATGCAGTTTTACTAAATAATAACTTTTTTTGAAAAAAATATGACTAATAAAATTATGTTTTCTAAAGATCCATCACTTTTTGTTTGATTTTTGTATGAACTGCACATTACTCTTTCATGCTGTTCCATTCTATGTGTAATTAATCAAAGGAGATTGATCTTGAAAAGACAGTAAACTGTTATACAATTAAAGGATTTCAGATGGAGAAAAAGAAAATTGACTATAATAGTAAAGCCAGCAAAAGCAAATGAAATGTTGATTCATGAATAGAAACTTCTACAAATATGAATAGTCTGAATGGTTTGTTAAATTTGGCCTCAGGCGGTTCTTTGATACAAGCTCAGTACTTACACATCAGACAATCAGACTGAACAGCCTTTTCAGGGCTTAAAGAATGCTATGAAACAATAGGCAGTATTAAGTTTTGAAATGTGATTGATTGCTCCCTTTGTTGCAAGCACTCTGCTAAGCATTTTCCTGGTAAAATAAACTATTTGAAATATTCAAGGGGAAAAGATAGAAATAAAGTTACACTGAAAATAAATGTTAGGTAGAGTAATATTTGATAAGAAATCTATAATTATCCATGCACTCTCATCAAAATGTTGAGCACACAAAATATTTTGCTATCAGTATCCATCTGCTGCTGATTTACTCATAACAGGATTGGAGGCATACCATTGCTTCACTGATGATGGAATGGAGACTGTGAATGTGGATTTAATCTGAGAAGGGAGGGAAAGCTCAAGCACTCACTCAATAAGAAAATGCACTGAAGCTGCTGGAAAAAGTCAGAGTGCTCAGCCCGGTCCCTCTCCCTGCAGCAAGAGAGGTGTTTTACCCTTATTATTTCAATATTAGCTTTAATTTCCACCTTTTAACCAATATTAATCACCCATTATTCTGAAAAGGTCAGACAGGGTTTGCAATTTTTTTTCATCAGAAGTGCTCATGAAAGTACCTCCCTCTTTTGCTGTAATGCTTTCAAAATATTAGGAATTACTCCCTTTGGTTAACCTAAGTGTAGGGATATCATCTACAAGGGTAGATGATATCGCTACTCTTATCTGTTCTGTTAGTTTTAGATAAGAAATTTACTAGGTAAGAAATTTGTATCTAAAAGAAAACATAGCAGATTTACTTGGCCAACTAACCAATCAGTATATTAAAGCAAATTTTAATGGTCATGGGTTGATCAGAAAAAGCAGGCAGGTCTATGGAAGCTATGTAAGAGCAGCATAAGTCTAAATCTTTCAAATTTGGTGAAATTCTTGGATCATAAAACATTCGTCTAAAACTCTTTGTTGCCCCTACATAGGTCTTCTGTCTCAGACCAGTTCTTCCCCTTCTCTTCTGTTTCTAAAGCTAGCTTAATCATCCGTACAAAGTGGCTCATGTGCTTATTTGAGGTAACACTTGAAAATCAACCCATTAGATTAAATTGTAGAGTAGACATAAGAATTAAATGAGTTTCTGCTTGTTCTTTGCATTCATCTCACTTCTGTCATTTGTGTGAGATTTTCAGAGATTCTGGAAGAGACACTAATTTCCAATAGATCTAATTTGCATTAAATGGAACAGCATTATAATTTATATTTTCCCATTGTGATGATTCACAAAAGAATCAAGTCACGCTCCTCTTTCTTAGCTGTGACTTTCTGCAAAGTGAGCAGCTTAACTATAAACTGTTTTGCTTATGCTTCACAACATGCTTGGAAGTGTCAGCCATATAATCCCAAACAATTTTTCAGACACCAAGAGTAGAGGCACATAAATATTATTTTTGCTTTGTTCAACAAACTGCTATACTATCTTGCAAATTTATTCTAGAAGCCTTTTTTGCATTTTAAATACAATTTGTCATGGGAGACCAGTATTTAAAAATCTCAAGCCCCAGCACATTGAGTTAATCATATATTTCTGCAGCTTTCATCTGAATTCCAGTTAACTTAATCATTATGTACATGCTTATATCCTTATGCAAGAATATGTTGGTGGGATTAGTACTGCATTAAGATAGGTAGGCCTGGGCCTTCCTACCTAATGAAACATAAGGAATGTACTTATGACCAACTTGATTTCTGTGGAGATGCTTTCTCTTCCAGGCATGTTTATTTTAAGATAAGTACTGATATATTCAGTGAGTTTGCTCTGAAATGAATACACAAGAAAATTGTAGTTTTAGCTATAATTACTTTCAAGTGCGTTATGGGGAATGACCAAACTTTATTAACAATAACTGTGATAAAACAGATTTAAGTTGTCTTCAGACTTTGTCATGTATTAAATAGATTAAATGACATAAAAAGGAAATTATTCCATTAAAGGAAGGAAAGTCAATCTCTGCACTGGTGTAGTTTTTGGCTGTTTTCTGGTATCGTTATCAATGTAATTTTGAACTGTAACTACAGTTTGTTTTAATATTATAACACAATAATATAACTCTCCATGTAGAAGCAAACTTCACTGTGTTCACCAATAATTAATTCAAGTAAGACAAGAGATTAAACTCATCTTTCCCCAACTTGGTGTCTGTTGGATGCGGTTATATTTGGAGACTACTAAGCTGAAGAAGACTATATCAGCCACAAACATTGTTTTTGCTAATGGATTCTAAACCTAAACCAAAATATTAAAGCAATTCTTCAATAGATGTAATCCTAATGTGTAGCTTTATACTGCTCTTTCATATAAACAAGCAATAAATTACAGAAAAACCCATGAAATTTCATGCTGGGTGACAGCCTGAAAAAGTTCCAGTCTTATTCTTTATTTTTTATTTTCGTGACTAAGTGAATTGATCCATACTCTGTTCCTAAATCACTATAATTCCATAGATTTTTTAGATGCAAAATGAATCCTGGAAACCAGATTTTCCTAACCCCTTCTCTTTTTCCCCTCCATAATGAAACTTTAATTTTAAAGCCATAGTTATGGCATCCAATAATAAACTATACCTTAGTATGTTTGTTCTTGTCCTCCAGATGTGCCTTTTGCTATTATAAATTAACATTCCCTTATAAGCAAACTAATAGTATATGCTACTAAAGAAATGTCTTAAATTGATTTTATTATAATTGTGTGGACCTTATTTTCTTATGATTAGATACCAGTGGGTTCTTGGTTGAGGGACAAATTCTGTGTATCTTTATCATTCCTTATTTGTGTGAATTCTTCAAACCAGAAAATTTCTACTAGCACCTCCATTGTATTGTAACACACTGCACATAATTCAATTTGACAGTATAGTTAAGACAATGAGACAAAATTGAATATGGTTGAGTTGAAAGCAAATAATTTTCATCCTATATTTAACAAACTTAAATATAGTGATATCTGCCATTTATAAAAAGATCTTCTCTCTGTTAAATAATACTTATTTTAAGTAAATTACCTTTACAACCGGGGAAAACCATAATGACAATAAGGCTCCATTTTGCTATAAAGCATTACATATCCACAAATCTTAATCTAAATTTAAAATCACTTCCTTAACATAATGTTCCTGTGAGCGATTGTGGAAAAGCTGAGGAAGGTATGAAAAAGAGTATAGACGTAATCAGCAAGTGAATTGAAAATTTATAAATAGCCACTAAATTCAGTAAGAGAAACTCAGAAAGAAGCAATTCAAATCATTCAAAGAGTTTGGGCTATATTAACTCACTATAAATGAGTGATTTTCAAACATGGCAACTTAGAGATGTAGGGACTTCAACACCCAGGATTCACCAGCCAGCATTATAAATAAATTTGTAAGATTGCATCATAATTTCTAAGATTTTGATTTATTCCAACCATATATTTAAATCTCTGTATCTCTTGCTTCTCTTATCTTGCTTAGCTACTTTTCATGGGCCATGACAATTTCCACCAGATATTAAATGTGATAAATATTCCACGGTGAACACCGATAATAGCTTTAAACTCAAATATGAAGCACTCTGATGTCATAGACTCAATTAAATCACTAGTCTGAACACAAAATGTATTTCCTAACGTGCACCAATTTTTTGCATAAAGGTTTTTCTTTAACATTTTAGGTGAAGGGTCCTCCAGCTGCAGGAGCGTTTAAAGAAAGACCAACAAAGCCCACAGCATTTCGCAAGTTTTACGAACGAGGTGACTTCCCAATTGCCCTTGAGCATGATACAAGAGGAAACAAAATAGCCTGGAAGGTAGGTTCAGGGCACAGCTGTGACAGGCAGCTGCACTTATTGAAGTGACAAATGTCATTGCCCAAACTGTTGGTTTATAAGTAAATAAAGTGAAGTAATTTCTTAGCAAAAAGAAGACGGTGGGGAAAACAAGTCAGAGACCGGCCTCCTGAGTCAGCCATCTACCTTGGCGAACAATTAAATTATATGCTGCAAAAAGGAAGTTGACAGAATTGCTTTACCTTAGAGAACTGTCTCCTGCTCAATTCATCTCTATTTTTATGAGGACCTGGCAACCCAGCCTATTCCAGGCAGTCCATCAAGTGATGGAAGTGGCTGGATACAGTGAGCAGCAGCAGCCATTTATCTTTCTCCTCTCCCCCCCACCTCCCCAATTTCACCTTCCTGCAGGACAGTTCCAAATGGAAGCTTTAATTACCTAAATGGATAGGTCAAGATTGCCTGCTCCTTTGAAATGCAGAGCAGAATACTAACGAAGGCAGATTCTCATTCCAGGGCTTCACTCCCAGGCTGCAGCATATGTCAGACAGCGTAATCGCTGTCATACATGCCCCTGTTAGAGGCTGACCTCCACTGCTGAAACCATTATGGCTCTGACATCTCTGACAAAAGGTTAATTGGCTTCAAAATAAATGTATTGCCTAATGACTTCATTCAAATGCAGCCGTGTTTCTCTCCAAAAGGCTCAGTGATGTTATTTGTAAAACTTGCCAATCTTTGAGGTAACTAGAGCAGGCTTTTAAATTTAATTTGAAAAATGAATGCTGATCTTTAACCTGCTCTTTCTATTTAATTATTTTTGTTATCAAAGAATGAATTTCTCTCTTTGTGCATATTATTTATTGCCTGGAATAAGATTTCTCTTCAAACTGGACAAAGATAGCCTGAACAGACATTGTATATTGGGAATAGTAAAAAGAAGAAGAAGAAGAAAAGAAAAAAGGAAAATAAAAAGAAACAGATAACCCATTCTTAGAACGTTTGAGTAGCTCATGTTGAAAAATAATGATTTAAGTTACCATAATTTAGGTCATTAAAATAAAAATGAATATCGTTAGACATGACAATAATAATGATGATCTATAATTAATTTTATTTAAAAAATTGGCACCCTGTAAATGTATTAAGAAAGATTGCATCAAAATTTAAGGGATCTATTTCACTCTGGGCAATGACTTTTTGGTACATTGGTATTGGCCAATGACTTTTTGGCATGACATTTTCTAATCTTATAGAATATTATTATTGATATTTATAGATAAAAGTACACTTTATGATATTTATATAAGAATCTTTGTATTAACTTTATATGGAATTTGTGATATTATTTTGTTTTGATTTTCCTCAATATTATGTGCTTAAGGCAATAATACATTTATTTGAATTAATAGACATAGGAAAGAAATCACAAAGCAGAATGGGTGGGCCGAACTCCATCCATTACAAAATGACTTATAGGCTAATTTAAACAGATTTAAGTTTAATTATATCTATTTTTTTAAAGGTGGCATGATCGAATATTACTAATTTGGGAATTTTAGTGGTAAAGATTTAGAAGAGAAAAGGAGGGAAATGTCCAGAACTGTAATAAGTATTTTATTATTTTCAGTCCCTATTTTGCTGCTTGCATTTACTATATATAGTAGAAGATTTTTTACCAAGTTCCAAAAACTGTATGGTATCAAGAGAACATAAATGTTAAAAAGCTCCTGTGATTCCAGCTATTTTTTGATGTTTAGGTTAGCTGATGGCTAATAACAGCATAGGCACCAATCAAAAGGCCCATCCCACTGTTGCTTTGCTAACCTTTCTCCCCCCCAAAGCTATCAGAAATTTGTTCAATTTAACGATGTTATCAATTTCTTACTCTTTTTTAAAATATATTTTAGACTGTTTTTGTTAAAGATGTATACCGTGTATGGGTTCTGGGAAGTCAGGGGAGGGAAGGTTGGGGGGGAGGGGGGGAAGTATATTAGGCTTGATGAGGGGTGTTAGATCTTAAAGTAATATGTCTGCACATGTATACTGTCTTCTCTTATTTTTTCTTTAAAGCTAAGAGATGTTAAGTATATTGATATGGAAGTATAAATACCATCAACACAGAATGGAGTTTGTTCAGAAGCTGAAATACACCAAATGAATGAGAGGAAGAATGGGAAGCAGAGGTGAGAAAAAAGATAGGATGAGAGGGATAGGAGAGAGGGCAAGGGGGGGGGGAAGATAAGGAGAATAAGGAGGAGTGGAAAGAAGAGAGAGGAGAAGGAGAAAGGAAGGAGAAGTAGAGTAGAAAAGGATGATGGAGGGAAGAAGGGAGGTAAGAAGGGGGAAGAGAGAGGCAGAAGAAAGTGGTGTATGGAGAGCAGAAGAGCCAATAATTGGTTTCTATCTTTTTTAGTGTTTTTTTTCCTGGAGTTGATGGCAAGATGGACTGATGTAATTATTAATTATACAATATGATATTGGCTATGTAATAGTATACATGTGATTATATGTTATGAAAATGGAAAATAAAAAAAGGATTTTTGGAGAGAAAAAAAAAGAAATTTGTATAGCACAGGATATCTTGCTAGTTGTACAACGTGGCCTCCTGTGTAACTGGAAGAGGTCTGCATTGAGCTGATATAAATGCACAACATACAAAGAATCATGATTGGTAGTTTTCTGGGCTGAAATTCCAGCCTTGTCCAATATCATTCAGCTTATGAAAAGACTCCTTTAACTGGCATGCAGAAAACTCTTCATGCACTCTTTTTTTTTCTTTTACTTTCATATTGTATACAGGCAGGATGAACTTTTAAAAAAATCTTGCAGACTATGGATCCACCAGATGATTGTTCAACCTAATGATCCCCAACTGGTAGCAAAGAGTTTGAGGGTTCTTGTTGATCTTTTCAATCACTTGACAGCCATTGAATGGTCATCTAGATTATTGTGCACTTGAGGTGCAATTGTTGAATCAGTTTTGAAGAGCTGGATTTAAAGGGATTTAACTGTAAGGATTGATGTGGAAGCTGGAAGCTGTCTAAGAAGGTGAAGTGAGGAATCAATACTTGGCTGAAAGTCTACTGAAATACAAGATTTGGGTCCTTTTGATACACACCTTAAGTCAGGCAAGGAAGGGTCAGTTTCAAAGTTTTGTAGTTTCTGGGTTGGTCAGTGGACTATCCCTTTTTAAAAAGTGGGGGGGGGGTGATATTCTAGTTTTCTTTAAAAAACAATTGGCAAAGAGATCTGGGACCAAATTAAGAAGTGGGATCCCACAAGAAACAGGCAGAAACAACTAAAAGCCAAGAGACAGATACTGTACATATCTCTTAGCAGTAGCAGGTTGTTCCAGTATTATCTTTTAGACACCCCAACATGATTCAGCTGTTCTCCTAAGGAGAAAAAAGTATTGCTATTTGGCGTTTCTTGTAAGCTACTTAATTATTGTTTGAACATTTAGTTTTTCTGCTATTTATTCAAAACCCTGATAAGCAAATAATTGGTTGGGATGTTATAGAAGAACCAAATTGGAATTCTTGGTATTCAACCATCAAACTGTCACTTTCTCTTTCAAATTGACTTTCTAGCCTTGGTGAATAAAATGCAGAGGGGTGGGGGAACTCATGCTGCCTTAGGCTTCCTAGAAGAAAGGGGAACACCAAATAAGTAGAGTGATTTACATAATTGTGTAATACCCACTTAGTTGTAACTAGACTGTCATAATGAATTACTATCGCAGTACGGCCACATAGGATTTTTATTTAGGCAGAGTTGGGTTTGGGTCAATATGATTCCATACATGAGAAAAAAGCAGTGTATGGGAAATTTCTACAGCATCAGTTAGATTGCAGATTTGGTTTTACAATGAAGTGCATTCACATGGGGGAAAATATAGTGACATCCCATGGACAATGTATCTCCATAGTGAGAAACAATAACATTGAATTTCAAGGAGAGGCAGACCTAGATAAAGGAAGTGACACCTCTTTGGAGCAAATATCCATAGAGGAGATCTTGGAAATCAACCCAAATAGTAGCTGGAGTTAAAAATGCAAGCAATGAAGAAGTAAGGTCTCCTCTTCACAATGATATACTGGATAAATACAATATTTGCTTAAATTGTCTCCCATGTTGAAGAAAGTGTATACAAATGCTTGATGGAGATATACTTTATTTTGATTTTGACATTTCCCCCCCAAGTACAGAAAACAATTTAATCACCATATAGTTCTTCCCATTTCATAAAATCATTGCCTATGAAGACCTCATAAATACTGCTACTTTCATATAATCCAGCATAATGGAGAAACTGTGCTGGCTTGTGACAATATTTTTAAAGCTCCACCCTCTCCTTTGTGGTTATGATTCGTAGGTGTTTATGTTACCTACCCTGATCTGTAAATAAAAGGTATTTCTGAACACCAACAAACAAAAGCAATGGTGACAAAATGAGAGAATGAGGAAACTAAGAATGTTAGAGAAGGAGGAACCAAAGAGTAATATAATAACATTCTTCGCACATATGGCAGCAATTATTTTTTCCTATATTTTTTGTATCCCACACAGTTGAAAATAGAAAATAGTTTTAAGGTACATGAAGGAAGATGTCGATTCAATATTAGGAGTAACTTCCCAATAGTTAGAACAGTTTGATGGCAGAACCAATTACACAGGGAGGCAATGAACTTCCCTTTACTAATTATATTCAAGAGAGGATGTGAATAGGAATACTTGCACGGAGATGGAAGATGGAGTCAAACAGCTATATGGGTCTGTGACAAAATGATGGATAACATCCCTTATCTAGCTATTATACTACTACACTGATATCCTATCATTTGTCTGGAAATTCAGGCTAGAAATACAGAAGGCTTTTGCAGACTCTTTTCTGGTGTAGTCTTTTGCACAATCCATCTGCTACCAGAACCGAAAGGCAAGATTTTCTAATTAGCTTTAAACATGATTACAAGGACCTGCCATTGGAAAGAGAAACTGCTCCTATGTGCAGAAATGCTTTCTATTCATGTACAGGATTTGTTACTACTTTGACTAAAAACTGCCATTCATAAATTTATGTAACATAATTATTTAGAAACATAGTTGAGAGAAAAGTATCATTTTCAGTGATAATTGTACAGAAGATTGTACAGAATCAAAAATGTCAAATGCCATAAAGAAAGGCACATTATAATGACCAACTTTCCCCCAATTAATTAGAACTATAAAATGTGCAGCTATCAAACTATATTTTTGAGTTTACTAGAAAATGTACAAATGATCATTTTACCATCTTTATCATTTTTCATTCAATATAATTAAATAAAATAATAATTTATATTTCTCAGCTTGTAGTGTATATGCTATTGGTAATATGTAATATAGGCTAAATGGAATATCTTTCCCATAACAGAAGGTGAATGAATGATTAAATGGACAAATGAATGGATGAATGAATGAGCGGATGAATGAATGAATAGCTTTACTGAACTTCACCAAGCATATGACAATTGTAAAAAATAATAAAATGAGGTAACAGCTATAAAATATTTAGACAATAGTTCCAACAGCTAGACATGCAAACTTGGTGAAAGTTTAAATAGTTGTTTTTGCCTGCCCAAAGGAATTTCACATAACATTTATCTGTTTCTGTGGGACTGGCCTAATGAGGGTATTAGCAACTCATTACAAGGATCTCTATAGAAGCCACAAAAGTGTAAAACAAGGGTCAATGATTCACTGCTCCCAGACCCAGAGGGCAGAGGTGGGTTCCTATCAAAGTGCGCATGAGCGAACCGACAGTAATGCCGGGCAGAGCCCACCCCTGACAGAGAGCAAATATTTTCTGCATAAA